TGTGTGTGTGTGTGTGTGTGTGTGTGTGTGTGTGTGTGTGCGCGCGCGCACGCGTGTAGCTTTGGCAAGGTAAGAAAACCACCACCAGGAACAGACTACCATGAATTGGTGAGTCACATCCCACTGCCCCGGTCCCTTGTGTTCCTGCAGCTCAGAAATAAAACTGCTTCCATGTTTTAGAGGGAGAAAGAAAATGAGGGAAGCCCAGTTTTTTTTCCTTTTTTCTTCTCAGGCCTTGTTGTGGCCTGAGAACATGGTTTAAATTATTCTAGTCACAGGCAGGCTATTCAAATAAAATAGAATTTCAAACCACGTGGGGCTTGTTGAGACATTCAGGCTTCTAGGATGTGTGAAAGGCAGGGGGAGGGGTGGAGACGGGCCCTGCCACTCTCCCGTCCTCTTTATTACCAGCAGCTGCAATGCTAGACACATCCGAGTGTGTCTCAAAGCCAAGGCGGACTCGAGCAGGTCTGACGGCAAGCGAGCACATGAAAGCCACCGCAAGCCTCCCCTCCCCGGTGGCAACTTTAATTATTTGAACTGGAGCTCAGCAAAATAAAAATAAAAATAAAATCAGAATATATTGTATGTAAGTGGCTCCCGGTTTCCTGCAGAGAATAGTTTGTGGAGGGGAGGGGGAATAAAAAACCCACAATGCTCTCTCTTGTTTGTGTCTGGGCTAGGCAGAAGTCTTTAAATATTCATGCCCCCATGTGCAACTGTGCAGAGAGAGAGGAGGCAGAGCCTGCAGCCACAGCCGGCCAGCAAGAGCCTGCAGAGGTGGCTGCAGGTGACTGGAGGGAGGAGGTGGGAGCTGGTGAGCTTCTGGAATGTGCTGGAAGTTGGGTTGGCATAAAGGCATGCCCTAGCTATATCTCTTTCGTTGGTGGGCATCTGACCTGGCCCCATATGCTCTCCCAACCCCTTCTGTCTCCTCTGCCTTGGTCCCTACTCCATCATTTCTAACCCCTTCTCTGAATCCTCTTTCTAAAAGGCAAGTTACACCACCCTATTTGAAGTCACAGTTTTTGGAAGAAAATCCTCTGTATGGGCTCAGAATGAATTTTGGTCACAGTTGGCAAGCACACCTATGGCCAGTAACTCTCAGGTTTCAGTGTGCATGCAGATCACCAAGGGTGGGGTTTGCAAATGCACAGTCCCAGGCCCCACTTAGTGATGTCACTCAGGAGGTCCAGGGTGGTGCCCAGAAATATGCATTTATTACATTTTCCAGGTGACTGCAATTAGAGAAACAGACCTACTAGTTAGCTCATTTCTAGATTTTGAACAAAATTCATTAAAGTCAACATCAGCTTTCCTACAGGGATCCACTGATGACTGTGGGGTTTCTAGAGGGAGGATTGTGAGACATTCTGCAAGGACTTTAACTCCCTTGGGACCAGGACTGGTCTAGGTTTAGAGAGGATGGTCGGTTGTAGGCAGCAGCCCTGGAGCTCAGCTCTGGCAGCCGCCAGTCCCTGTGGGCTTGATGCTCATCAGGGACCTTCAGCCATGGCTATCTGTGTCCACCTTCCTGCACTTGGGCTCCACAGCCAACGGAGGCCCCTTGAGGGCTGATGGGGTTTGAAGTTAACCTCACACAGTCTCTCATAGCAATGTAACATCCTGCCACCAGAGTTCAGCCAACCTGGGAGAAGATCAACTTCCTGAATTCTGTATGTAGGATTCAAATAAAATTAATGGAACTTACAAACTTGGAAATGCATATTTCTATTTTGGTTATTTATTTTTCTGATGAGAACATTTCTCCCAACATTGGGAATTAAAAGACCCATCAGCGTTAGATGAATGGTCTGAAGGCCTGAATGTGAAATAATGTGAATGTGGATATTTATAAATATAAGTAATGTGAACATGGTATGGACTCACTCCTTGCCCTTCATTACACCTGCTGAGCCAGGTTCTGGAAAAGGGCAGGAAATAGAAATAGCCCAGAGCAAATTTGACTGGAGGAAAAATAAAACAGGACAGTAAAACAAAGCACCTGTTTAAGTTATTGATCAACTCAAAGGTTAGTAGAGAAATGATGAAGTATTAGAAAAATATCATTTTTACCTTGACATTTCTTTTTCTGAAATTAGGCTCATATTAAATCCAGTAAAGAGTAAACTTATTTTTATTTTTATTCTGTTGCTGAAATCTGGGAGAAGAGTAAATTTAAAGACCAAATGTTTTTAAGGGTCCTCCTGTCCTCTCAGGTGGCCCAACCATCTGTCCTCATTTACATTTTCTCTTAAGAAGGCTTCCTTTCTGGGTACCTGCTCTGAGGCACCTGAGAACTATCACCAGTGACTGTGCAATTCCACCATCTATATCAGCATGGTTTCTTAAATACAATTTAATTTAGTGTATCTCTTTGTGCTCAGACTTCTTCTAAAAGAGGACTTAAAGTGGCTCACAGAGATATATAGATTCTAGTAAGAAAACATAAACTAGAAGGCAAGAAAGATGGGACAGATGTTATCAGATCAAACCAGGAGAGAGGCTGCTACAAACCGAATATCACGAGTCCTATTTGCTTACCAACGGGGACCTCGGTTTAATTGAACCATTCCTCCGATTTAAAAAAAAATCACTTATAAGTGGAGGGCTTGAATCCACCTGTGTCCCTTAGTGGGGGGAATCTCATTTTCTATACCTCTGCTGGCCAAATCTCCACCTCTCTGGAATTTCTACCAGCCAAAGGAGGGGAAGCGAATCTGAACTTGAAATGGAAAAAAAATAAATAAATAAAAAATAAAATAATTGCTCAGAAGGTGCATAGCTATTTATGAATCTAAGCCAGATAGCGATTTCTGTTGTGAGTTCCCGGAAAGAAAGGACGGACAGGCCAAAGCTAAGCTATGCCTTGGTGTGGACGCCATGGGCGGGTGCAAAGAAGCACAGGCCTGGCCTGCTTTCTGAGAGCTTAGAGTTGGATTTTTGGCTAGAATCCTCTTCCTCTTCCCCAATTCTCCTTCCATATGTTTATATAGGTGCCAGGCGCTGCTGGCTATTGCAGTACATTCTTTGTGCCAGATGCTGTTCTAAGCTCTCTACGTATATCAACCTATTTAATTCCCACCTCTTTGGGGTGGGCACTATTACTGTCTCTATTTTCCAGGTGAGGAAACTGAGGCCCTGAGAGGTTAACTAACTTCCCAAACAACTGTACAACTAATCAGTGGTAAACCTGTCTTGGACTCAGGTAGTTGATTCCAGAATCCATGAGCTTAATTACTGTGCCAAGTTGGGGTCTTAAGCATATTTCTTGGCCCCTAGAGAATATGATCTTATTATGCCAAGGAACATGGAGCCAGTCCCTCTGTCCTCACACTGAAGACATAATAGCTTCAGGAATCATTTGTGTAAGTGGCTTTGGAGGTACTTCACTGAATGTCATTGATGCCTTAGTGAAATTTATGTAAATCAAATTTTTGAGGCTTTATAATATCTGAAAGGTATTACAAGAGCTTGTTATTTTTAAAAAGGGATTCCGTAGTAAATCCCTGTTACTATCCCCTATTATGCCTTGGGAAATTTTTTTCTGGGTTTGTTTAAATAAAGGTCCTACTGCAGGTAGTTGAATGAGGCTGAATATGGGTGTTTAAGTAGTGACTCTGTAGATGGGACTTTACCACGTTGGTGGACGTGCTGTGCCTAAAGATGACAAAAACGGCCCCCTTGTTCTCCCCCAGGAGAACACCCAGCCTACCACCTAGGCTACTTTATCTGTTTGGGTTCATCTGGAAGTGACCAGGGGTCAGAGGGCGGGAAGTCAGAACTAGAGGAGCACTGAGACTTGCCTCGCACGGAGAGTTCTTCATCGGCGCGGGGAGCCCCCTTGTTCTCCCCCAGGAGAACACCCAGCCTACCACCTAGGCTACTTTATCTGTTTGGGTTCACCTGGAAGTGACCAGGGGTCAGAGGGCGGGGAGTCAGAACTAGAGGAGCACTGAGACTTGCCTCGCACGGAGAGTTCTTCATCGGCGCGGGGAATATAGTGCTGGTCACTGCAGCACTTTCAGAGGTGGGGACATTGGTGGTGCTGAGCAGCAAGGCGTGGCCTGGGGGAGAGAGGAAACGGATCACAAATGCATCATCATGAACTTGTATCTCCTAAGCACCATTCTGCCTGAAAACGTGGGGGGACATGAGCTCCCAACCCTACGTGGTGGCAGGAGGAAGCACCTATAAAGCCCCAGGAATTGCAGAACATTCTGTACGCAGTGCTGTGGAGAGGGGTGCCCAAGTGAACTCACAACTCTGTAGGGGTCCACAGGACCCCACGCATGACTTTAGCCATTCATTTCTGCCTTTCTCCATCTCTTAGTAAGGTCTGTTACTGAGTTACTACCGAGTAACAAATTTGGGTTGGTCCAGAGCAGAGAATCCAGGTCAGGCCAGAAATTTCAGCATGCACGAGGAAGGTTCCAGAAGCTGGGGTTGTGGGACTAGAGAGATAAAAGCCCTCATGTGGGTGGGTTGGTTACAATTGTTGTCTTTGTAGGAGAAGGAGTAGTTTAGTTCTGTGGGGCTCCAGGAGACAGAAATCCTGATCAGTGAGTAGGATTCATGGAGAGATGGAGCTTGCCCGGAGGTAAGGAAAAGCGATCTGCGATTCAGAGCGGCTCAACAATGGCACGGGCTGTTCTAGGAGGCAGTGAGAGCCCCATCACCGGAGGTATGCAACAGGGGCTGGACACGTATTTGCTGTGGGTGCTGTAGGGGGGTTATCAAACCGGGATTAGAGACATGGAGATGGCATAGCTTTGAGCTCTCTTCTCTGCTCCTTCTATAGACAGGCTGCTAAGGTTGGTGCCATGCGGTGAGGAGACCGGGAGGAGAGGTAGGAGCTCCTGGGCCCTCCATATCTGGTGAGGGGCCCCTGCAGAGCTCTCCCATGGCTGCTGTTACTCAGCCTTCTTTCCATGGGGCCACTGCAGGAGTGTTCTGGCCTAGAGCCAGCTTACTCAGATGCAGCTGGCTCTGAAGGCCAAGAACAGAGCCGTGCAGCTCTGGGGTCCTTCGTGGTTGAGCTGGTGGTTGTCCTCTCTTACACTTTTTATTCTTATTATTATTTCTTAAAATAATCCATAGGATGTGTGATCTTTGCTTGAAAAGAGAGGGATTTTGGTATGAGGCTTTATAGTTGCACAGAGAAGACAAATGCAGGGGAGGGAAGGAGGAGAGAGACCCCCCACCCAGCCCTATTCTGACTGGGCCTTCCTGCTCAGTGGGTACAGCCCAAGGCGGGCTCATGGCTGGATGGCCTGGCCTCTCTAGCAGTCTGACTCTGGGAGCTGTGCTGGCCTTACAGACCCTCTCTGATCTCACATCCTGTCCAGGCTGCTGTCTCTGAGTCTGGAGTCAGCTTACCCAGGTATGGGTGGCCATGTCTTGAGTGTATGGAGACCCTTTGCTCATCTGGCAGTTCATTGGGGTTTGTGGGGAGAATGGGTTCTGGCGAGGGGTAGACAGGGGTTGCCAGCTTAAGTCAGGGGCAGGGTGGAGGATGGCTGAGGAGGCTGGGCCACAGAGAATGAACCAGATGTGGGGCAACGTTCCCAGGGCAAATGACACAAGGACTCCCTATGCCTCAGTCTTCCCAGTCATAGAGGGGGTTATGGCTTTCCCTGCCTCTCAGTGAATTATGTACTGGACACATAGTGGGACCTTAGCAATCACTTGTTCAAAGAATGGATTATTATTGTTGCTATTATCTTTCAGTTAATCCTTCATTAAAGTTCTCATTTTGGGTAACAAAAGATGACATCTACCTTGGCCATATTTAATCATTCTAGAGCCCCGGAAGGTCCGAAGAGGGAATTGTGTGTGAGCACCCTAGGCAAGCTTTGGGCCTGCACTTGCGCTTTCCATGCAGGGTGGGGAGAAGCCCAGCTGCTCCGGGGTGGGGCCCTTCGTCCCTTGTCTATCCACATGGGCGTCAGGATGGTGACCAGGGAGAAGGGAAGAGGGGAAAGTACCTTTGTGGTCCTGGAAGCGGGCTACATGAGCTCCCAACCCTACGTGGTGGCAGGAGGAAGCACCTATAAAGCCCCAGGAATTGCAGAACATTCTGTAGGCAGTGCTGTGGAGAGGGGTGCCCAAGTGAACTCACAACTCTGTAGGGGTCCACAGGACCC